GTCCGGGGCGACGGGCGGGGGGGCGGGGGGTCGTGGGATTCCCTGCATCCGCCCCATGGACTCGGGCGGACTTTTCAGCCGCCGCCGCCGCCGACCCCTCCCGCGAAGCCGCTCACGGCGATGAGTGGGGTCGAGCTTCGCCGGGAGGTGCTGCGGCTCCGTCGTGAGGTGGAGGCCCTCCAGTCGAGTGAGGTGCGTCTGACGATGGAGCTGGAGTCGAGCCGGGAGAGGCAGGCGGAGGAGCGGGCGCAGCGGCAACGCGCTCGCCATGCGCGGCTGCAAATGCTGCAGCGGCTGCAAGAGGTGGTGAAGCAGCGGCTGCTGCCGCCCGGGGACGTCGCGGATACCCCGCTGACGATACTGGAGCGCTCCAAGAAGGAGATGGAGCTCGTGGTGCAACGTCACCAAATCTAGCCGCATCTCTTTCTTTTTTCCCTCTATTCTTCTTTGTTTCACATCCACACACACGTTCTTAGAGTTTTTTTTTTGGCTATAAATTGCTTTACGCCAATGATAATTTTTTTTCGTCATTTTGACAGGCATTACTTAGTGTGTGTGTGTGTGTGTGTGTGTGTGTGTAGAGAAGGGAGCAGTGGAGAGGATTATTTTCTAAAAAAAGGAACGGATTGTTGCATGTCTTTGGAGCAAAACACCTTTATTGGCGACTGTAAGATGGCTTCATCCCTACAGATAGAATAAAACACACTACTCAAAGGACCTTTTTTTTTTTTTCGGGTAGAATCAGGATGTTATCATTATCATTGCCTTTTTATTTCTTTACGTTTAGGCGCATGTCTATTGAATGTGCAGTGGAGCCCTTTTAGCACGTTCATGCATGTTTTCACGATATGTAATAACACTTATTCGGGATAAGTATAAAAAGTAGGTTTAATGAAGCCCTGCCGGCACTGAATTTTCAACCTCTTTTCGTTTTTGATAAGCAAGAAAAGAGAATCTTGTGCGTTTCTTGCTTAGGTCCCTTTGTGTGGTTGGCTTCTTTCCAAAGTCATCAAATTTGCGCTTATCGACTAAGGGATTGGTCCCTTTTTTTTCTTGCATTGTTGTTTTCATGCCCATTTTGCATTCCTTATACACAATTGTATATGAAGTATATGTATCGACTTTTCCATGTGTTTGCTTGGAAGGATATTCACACGCTTTCTTCTTCCCTCCCATTTCCAACACTCCTTGGGACGATTCATCTTGTGATTTGACGTCGCAATTTTAACATCTAATGAATGTTGTTATTTATTACCTCTGCATGCCATCAACGTGTTGTTACCAATATTATACCTCTTGTGGTGGAGTATCATATTTTATAAATCTTGTATCTGAATCAAGAAGAATGGAGATATTTCAGTATCCTTTGCTTTCCGTTGCCACCCTTTTTTCCCATCTAAGGGAGATGGTGTCAACTTGAAAGACGGTGTATGCGATGTTTTTTTTTTGTGTTAAGCCCCTGTCGGATTGTCATTTCATCGTATTGCGCTTTTTACTCCCACTAAAATACACAAAAACACACGCACACGCATGCCACAATCATCAAAATGTTCAAAACAAACTGTACGCCATCTCTACGTTAGACGATTGAATAACAACACTATCATTACTGGCGTGTTACCTTCAGACACGCAACGTAACGGTAAAAGTTCTCTAACTTCTTTTTCTATTACTCCTTTTCTGCTGCTACTTTTTGAAATTTAGTCTATTTGTTGAAGAAAAAGTTAACGGTCTTAGTTTAGGGTATCTATTTCTACCCATCACAAGAGACATATATACTTCAAAGCAACATCTAGCAAACATCGACAGCCCTCAAACAGATAAACAAGAAAATTAAAAGGTATTTTTTATTTTTTATTATCAACTCCTCAATCTATACTATTAGTGGACAATTTTTTCTTCTCTTTCTGTGTAAATTACCTTTATTCTAGTCCCATTATTTGCTTTGCTTCATCAGTTTAGCATTGCATTTATTTAGGAATTCTTTTTTTTTTTGCCTCAAGCGTATTTTTAATATTTTTTTTTGCTATCCCCGTGGCGCATGGCTCAATCATCATTAAATACACCTAAATCATTGACATTGATGTTACCTTGCATCGCGGATAAAGTGCCAGTGGACGCTATTAGTGTGTTCGCTCCGGCGCCCCCTCCTATGGATGGGTATCCCTTGAAGGATTCTCAAGAAACGGTTACACCCTTTTCCAGAAATTTAGACAAGTCCGCAACCCAAGAGGGTCCTAGCTGCACAGACATTACCCCTTCATGCGACTTCATTTCCCCACATAAACCCAACATCTCGAAGATTGGCATTAACAACATCAGAAACAACAACAGGGCTTCCATATTGGATAAGTTGGAGCCCTTGACGACCTCTATAGGTCCTCAGCGATTGACAGAGGCAGAAACGGGGTTGCCACCTGCCCCCAGTTCGCTTTCCAAGGCGTCCTTCTGCTCATCTTTCGCTATTCCTGCTTCGTCTGAGCAGGAGCTAAAGAATAGGGCGCTTGGTGAGAATACTGCATCGCATCTAGTGAGGAGGGAGAGTTTAGCCAACGGTTTTCTTCCCCCGATTAACACCGAGCATGTCATGAAGCCAACAGAGGTGCCGGATGTGGCTCTTAAAGATACCACCCTTCCAAGTACTCGTGGACTTCGCGATGGTGATGATAATCAGCTGCCCTCTGCTGGGGTGAAAATACCAGTGAAGCGGTCGGGTTTGGAATCACCCTCATGCCCTGTTTTTTCTGCCATCGAAGTCGTCCGGCCAAAGCGGCGGAAAGGGAAACGATGTAGCTCTAAAATGCCGAAGCATTACTTACGTTATGATCTTACACCGGAGGAGAATATCCTCAGCAGTGATAAAAAGGAGATCCAACGGGATACTCAGCTGCCCAATCTATTAGACACGTCCTCGCGGGAGGATCCTGGCGCGGATGAACACCGCGCAAACCCCGCGCCGCCGACGGAGCCGGCGGAAGAAGTTCTTTTGGCTATAAAAGATGACCACACCGCGGCCATTAGCCCTTGTAAAGATAAAATCCATTGCGAGGATGGTATTCATTGCGAGGACCCTCCCGAGCGGCGTGAATCGCCCCCGACGGGCTTCCCTATGCTGGAGGGGAACCCCACCATTCCGTGCGCTTCCGATCCTATTCACCACACTAACCCCGTGAGCAGTGAGGAAACCTCGAAGACGCCCCCTCTGAGCGCGGAGACGACATCCGAAAGCCATCCCTCTGCGATAGTTGAGCAGAACCCCGCTCCTTTTTCGCTATCAGAAAGCGCTTCGACGGTGGTTCTAACGCCGCTGAGGCCGTACAGCCCCGCCAAAGGCGTCGAGGAATTCCGGAAAGTCGTCGCCGCGGAGGAAGGGGGTGCGGTAATCCCTCTTCACGCGACCTACCCCACCAGCGGGGATCCTTCGAAGGCTTTTCGACGCCCACACAGCGCACAGCCCTCGCGGGAGATGGGGGAGGACTCAAAGCGAAGCCTCCCAACGGGGGGGCTCGAGGAGAAAACCGCGGATCTGCTTCCCACCCAGGGATCGCTCTGGAGCAGCCTCCCAGAGATGCATCTGGGGGTTCGGGAGACCCCGGCGGTGGAGGATCCTTCGCGGGCAGACGGGGAGGGAAAGGGCCCTCACGGCATTTTCCTTGTCGAACCCCTCCCTCGCCTTTTGCTACGGGGTGCCCTTGGGGAGGGCACCCCACTCGGAGGGATCGCAAAGGTGGAATCGGCAGCCAATGGGGATTCCCCTGAAGGGGGTTTCCGCGAGGAGAAAGAGAAGGAAGGGGAATCGCAACCTTGCCGATCCCCTTCGAAAGGGACGCGGGGTCGTTCCACAGATTCCCCCGCCACCCCGTCGCCGCAGATTCCGCTTTCGCTTCCGCTTCCACCTTGCGCGGGGGCGGAGCTCACGGTGGTGGTTTCTCCCACCATCGAGTCGATCTGCGATCGAGGCTACGACGGGATCGCCACCCCGCCGCTGGAGATGAGCATCTCCGATAACCTCCTGGTGGAATCCCCCGTGCACGCGATGGGGTACTCCCCGATATGGGGGGGACATGATAAGGCGGCGATTTCGTTGCCGTTGGTGGATATTTTTCCAACGGTGCGGGAGCCTTTCCGGGAAGGCAGAGGGGGCGCGGGCGTCGCCGTGGGGGATCCCTCACGAAGCACCGAGATGTGGCCTTCCGGCGGGGTGATGTGGGATTGTCCGGAGGCGCACGCGGGCGAGCCAGGCAAAGGGGCGGATTCGCCATTAAATGACGTGGAGAAAGGATCGGATAAGCTTCCGCCGATTTTCAAACCGTCTCGTTTGTTTGAGGCCGCGCAGGGGGGTGTTGCGAACCGCGAGACGGACGTCCCGGCGGAGAACTTGTACCGTAGGAACTCCGATGATTTTGCCTTTTCGGACGCGGATAGTTGTTCTCTGGTGCTGAAAGGGTTTCATCCACCGTGCTTTGAGGCGAGGCGTGGTTCTCGTGTGTGCAACCGCGTCACCTTCCTTCTCTTCAGCGATGATAGTCTTTCCAAAAATGAGGACAACAACGGCGTCGGCCGCGGAGCGGCTGAAAAAAGTATTCCATATCTCAACCAGTCCTCGGCGTTGTCGTATACGGAGGCACAGGAGCCCGACGAGAGCTCCAAGGAGGTTCCGATACCTAGAATCGCCTTCCTCCCATACCCTTCTAGCTTAGCACCGCAGTTTCACCGGCCGTGTGAAAATGCGCGCGACCCGTCTTTCGCATTGAAGGCGACCTCCCCGCATGGAAGTTCCCGGGAGAATTCGTTGCCCTTCGTCTTCGATACTAATGGCGATGTGATCGGTTGCGATTTGAATCGCAACGTGCAGTCGGGTTCGGCTGAGCTCAACAGGGAGGCGGCGCCGCGCATCTTAATCAAATCCTCTTACCAGACCCCAAAGTCGGAGCGGTCGTATACGCCGTTAAATATCAACTTTGAGCATCAAGGACGTCACCAGGTGCATAACGATCGAATCGGCGATGCCCTACACGATGAAGACAATAGCGACAGAGATGAGAACAACATGTGGAGCTATGATGCCTACCATGAATCGCCTATCAGGGATTCTAAAAAGGATGACAGTGACTTTTTTGAAAGGTTCGCCTTTCCCAGAAACGGCTCATGAAGTTTGTATTTACGACCTATTTTGAGTTTGTCAGGTTGTGGGTAAGCTGCGAGAAAGGAGAAGTAGGGCATCGAAAAGGGGAAACAGACTTTACTTATTTGATAGGTGAAGGTTTATATCACAGCTATCGATGCGAACGGTACCCTCTCCTTGTATTCATAGGGGTCGTGTGTCCTTCCCTTTTTCATCACCGTAATCATCTTGCATGTCTGCTTTCATGAAATGACTTAGTACGTCACTTCCTTAGGTATTAAACCTTATTTCCTTCCCCTCCCCTTTCTACATTTTTTCCTTGAGAATAGAAAATTAACCTGTTGTAGTCTTACCTTTTCCATCATTGGTGGTATCTATTTTCAATTCATTTTGTCGAATGGTGTTGAATTCCTATTATAATCTTATTTCTTTACTTAGAGTTCTTCCATTAGAGAGATTCAGATGAAGCTCCCTATTCCCACTGCTCCTTTTTGATTAATATTAGATTTTAGGCTAATCTCTTAAAAAAATGGTTTGATAAGTAGAAAAAAAGGTGTGCAACGGTGACGGGAGAAAGGAAGCCATCAAATTGGGAGGGATTCCGGGTTTAAAAAAACATTCTAAATAATAAGTACACATGTGTGTCTAAAAATGAAATGAAACGCTAATAAAAACGAAAATAAGCAAACTCCTTGCGTAGTGGAGTGGCGAAAATATACAAAACTAATTAAAATGGTGATAAACCATTGTGCTAGGCTGCTGCGGATTTTATTTTTCACTAATACCTCAGAGGGTGTGGATACCTCTTAGTCTCATTATTAACTTGATGAATATTGTCATTAGTGTTGTATCATGAATCACTTACCATTTTTTCCAGAAAATTATACGAGACTAAGAGCAATTACAAGTCAATAAATCGATCGAGTACTGTCTACTGAAGACTTTTTATAAGTTTTCCAAGATCACACCGCGCGTTTCGCTACTCATAGAAGAGTACCAACATTGTGATCGCAAATTGAGTTCTTCCTTCCCTACTTTATCTCACTTGTTTCTTTACGCGGGAAACTCGGGGGAGGGTAGGGGAGGGGGGTGAGGAGGTTTCAATATCTAACAAGGAGATGCTTGGAGGAGTGCGAATCGGAGGAGATTACCGATGCGCACCTGTTCTTCTCGAAGCACAACCCACTAGAGGAGGGGTAAGAGAAAGCAAAACGATAACCGAAAAAAATCTCCCTGCCGACCCTTCTGTTTATGGGTTTAGTTAATCTAGTGCACTGAAAAGGCAATAAAGGATTAAGCTATGGGAGGATTAGCTAAGGCATAAGGTTTTATTTGTTATCCACACAGAGGAAGCCTTTCTTCTTTTTTTCTTCCCTTTCCCGCATACGTAAGTCATGGAGTAGTTCAGTGATCGCTCTTATTTCCTATTTTACTGAGTTGGGAAATGGGAATGTGCGTCGACAGGTGAGCTTAAAGTACACAAGGGTGCGTGTGAGCAACTGCCCTCCCTTCACGAACGACGCAGTCGGTAGCTTTGATAATGCGTTACGTTATGGTATGTTTCGTGCACTGTGGGAGTCCATTGTGTATGGTAGTGAGTTTGATTATGGAGTGTATGCAAGGTCATTCACTGCCAAGTGTGTATCTTTGCTGACTTGTTGTTAGGCGCTATAGGTGGCTCTACCTGTTGAATGGTTATATTTTAATCATTTTTGCCATTAATGATGACTTTGTTGGGGAAGGATACACCCTCTGGAAAACAAAAAGTAAAGTATTTCCCATATCGGACAATGATTTCGATCTTCTATCAGGCTTCAGAAGTGTGTACATTTGAATATACAACATATATCATTTTATTATTTTTTCATTCTTTATTGCATTTCAATGAAATTCAAAAAATATGTTGACATTTAGCATAATAAAATATTAATTTAATTAAATACAATTGATTGAACATAAACGTTGCGTTTTTTTTCTTTGCCAACATCTAGGTGAGTAAAAGTCCAGTTCTGGTGGTTGCCCATCTATTTATTTTTATCCGTACATTGTAGTTGGTTTTGTTCTTGAATATTTTAAGACGAAATGTTACGTGAAAATTTATGTTATTCATCATATTTTCCAATGCTGGATTTCCTTTACTCTTATATTTGTTTCCCTCTTTTCGACATTCTTTGCTTATATCTCTCTTTTGCTTTCTCTATGTTAAAGTAAAAACCACAATCTAAAAGGTAACCGTACTGTTAGCATACGGATTAGTTACAAATAAATAGCGAAACAACTGCGAACGGGCCCAGTATCACAGTAAACTAAAGGGAAACCTCATTTTCATGATTTCAGAGCCGTCTCCCTTCATTAGGTTTCTGGGTAGCATGACAGAGGATATCGCTTGTGGGCAGGATACACGTCATGGAGATGATATGCACGGAGGTATTCAGAACAGCTGGGAAAGCAGCGGCTCGTATACAATTCGTAATAACGTGCGCGATGTCCAAAATGCACACCCACCGATCTCTTTTAATAATTTGCTAAGTTCATTTAAGTCGTTTATGTCCAAGGCGGAGGAACTTGTGTCGCTACGTTGGTGTGCTGAACTTTCTTCGCCATCCGCCGTCCCAAACGGCGACAGGCATATTTTTGGCCTCACGTCGCTTCTGACGGAGCCAGTTCAGGTAGAAGGGTTATTTGCTATGCCGATAGGAGGAGTCGAGCCTGGGGAAGGTTACATGCATAAAAGGCAGCCCTCTGAGGATAGGGGCAGTCTCTTTGTACATTTTTCAGACGCTTCGACATCTATCGCAGCAGGGAATGCAAGTACAATGTTTGATGTGGCAATCCGCACCAACGTAGCATACTCTAGTTACAATGTATGGGAAGATGCACTTAGACTTCAGGTACAGCATGTCATGGAGGCTTCTCTGAGTCTAGAGAAAGAGCTGCTTCTCTCACACCACTTACCAGAGGAGCGTTCAGCGGCCAAGAGGGGATGGGAGAAGCGCGTTTCCGAGACCCTTTCTCAGCTGAGGTTGCATGTCATGCTCACGTTCTTAAAGCGGCTTCAGTGCGTACTGAGGGGCGATTCAACACAGCGAAAAAGTTTGGTTAACTCTCTCCCTCCACATCTTTATGCTCCCCCGCTATTTGTGGTCTCCCCGCTTTGTGTCACGGATATGCCCGTCGCACGGGCGAAATATGGCCTTCTCTACGCTCAGAATCAGCTGAATGTTAGGACGACGCGCTCCAACGAGTCCTTCGTCGGGACACTCGGAAGCTGTCTTAAGGAGGAGCTGCTGCCCTTCTTGTTGAAAGGCAAGGAGCAACCAACCGCATGGCAACCTCAACGCTCGGAGTCTCATTTATCAGTGAACTTTAGTGCCCCTCTTTCTGGACTTGGGGAGGCCTCTGAGGGCATGTTAGGCATGTTGCGAGAGGCTTGGGAGGAGTTGCAGGGAAACCTGCATCGGCAACTTGCAACGCCGTCTCCTAGTAGGGGTCGTGCCGCCGTCGGTGCGGTGTTTGACATCCTAAAACCGGACGGCTGCGATGGGGATGGCGATATGGCCTTGTATCAGGTGCAGTACGCATTTCCATTACTTTCTGGGGCGAACAGTGGGGATCCCAACTCGTTCTTTCCCTCTGCCGCACCCGTCCGGCTCGACTTAGCCGATTTCCAGCGCCAGTTAATTGCTAAGCTGCACACCCAGCGCGAGGAGCGATTTCGCGCGTATTGTCGCCCCGAAAGCCATCGTTCAGGCGGTGCGCGAAACGAATCGCGATCGAGGGCGGCCGACGGCGTCACCGTGAATTCGACAGGGGATTTCCGAGAGGTATCTATCCCCGCCGCTCGTTGGGATAACATGTTCCACGACGCCGGAGAGGGGCGGCTGGCCGAGGAGCTGCATCGAACCTTTTTTCAAAATCGCCTGAGCGTGCAGGCGATCGAGCTACCTGCGGTGAAACGCCCCCTCTTCAGCGTCCATCTAAACGACAAGGAGCGACCAGTGACAGAACAGACATCTGCGAGGACGAGTCCACCAAACCGACGACCTCTGATGGCGGAATCGATGCCATCCAGTGCG